CATGTTCCGATCTGGTGGGAAATTATAGCTGCAGTTGTGCCTTAGGTTACACTGGACGAAACTGTGAGATCGACATTGATGAGTGTTCTCCAAACCGCTGTCAGAATCAGGCAACATGTTCCGATCTGGTGGGAAATTATAGCTGCAGTTGTGCCTTGGGTTTCACTGGACGAAACTGTGAGATCGACATTGATGAGTGTTCTCCAAACCGTTGTCAGAATCAGGCAACATGTTCCGATCTGGTGGGAAATTATAGCTGTAGTTGTGCCTTGGGTTACACTGGACGAAACTGTGAGATCGACATTGATGAGTGTTCTCCAAACCGCTGTCAGAATCAGGCAACATGTTCCGATCTGGTGGGAAATTATAGCTGCAGTTGCGCCTTGGGTTACACTGGACGAAACTGTGAGATCGACATTGATGAGTGTTCTCCAAACCCTTGTCAAAATCAGGCAACATGTTCCGATCTGGTGGGAAATTATAGCTGCAGTTGTGCCTTGGGTTACACTGGACGAAACTGTGAGATCGATATTGACGATTGTTCTCCAAACCGTTGTCAAAATCAGGCAACATGTTCCGATCTGGTGGGAAATTATAGCTGCAGTTGTGCCTTGGGTTACACTGGACGAAACTGTGAGATCGACATTGATGAGTGTTCTCCAAACCGCTGTCAGAATCAGGCAACATGTTCCGATCTGATTGGAAATTACAGCTGCAATTGTGCCTTGGGTTACACTGGACGAAACTGTGAGATCGATATTGACGAGTGTTCTCCAAACCGTTGTCAGAATCAGGCCACGTGTTCCGATCTGGTGGGAAATTATAGCTGCAGTTGTGCCTTGGGTTACACTGGACGAAACTGTGAGATCGACATTGACGAGTGCTCCCCGGACCCTTGTCAAAATCAAGCAACGTGTTCCGATCTAATTGGAAATTACAGCTGCAATTGTGACCTGGGATACACTGGAAGAAACTGTGAGATTGATATCGATGAGTGTTCTCCAAATCCTTGTCAAAATTATGCCACATGTTCCGATCTAGTTGGATATTATAGCTGTAGTTGTTCGTTTGGTTACACGGGGAGAAACTGTGAACATGACATTGACGAATGCGCTCCTCGTCCATGTATGAATAATGCTACATGTACGGATCTTGTGGGTAACTATAGTTGCCACTGTCTACTAGGCTTTAAAGGAAGAACATGTGGTGTGAACATAGATGACTGTCCTCCAGAGACATGCAAGAACGGCGGAACTTGTTCAGATTTGATAGCAGATTTCAGCTGTGCTTGTTTGCCTGGTTATACGGGCAAAAGTTGTGAGACTGACATTGATGAGTGTGCGCAAAACCCGTGTAAACATGGTGCCACTTGTGTGGACGCTGTAGCCAATTATAGTTGTAACTGTGCCCATGGTTACACGGGAAAAAACTGTGAAGTGGATATTAATGAATGCGCCTCAAGCCCCTGCAAAAATGGAGCTAAGTGTGCAAATCTGGTAGCAGATTTTTCCTGCAGTTGTCTTCCCGGTTACACTGGAAAAGACTGCTCCACTGATATAAACGAGTGCAATTCCTATCCTTGTTTACATGGTGCTACATGTCATGACAAGATCGACAATTATACGTGCGCCTGTGTTCCTGGCTACACTGGTAGGCAGTGCGAGATCAACATTGATGATTGTTCGCCAAATCCTTGTCGCAACACTGGTATTTGCTCGGATGGGATCAACAACTATCACTGCAACTGCGAAGGAACTGGATTTAACGGATCTCGCTGCGAGCTCGACATTGACGANGTAACTATAGTTGCCACTGTCTACTAGGCTTTAAAGGAAGAACATGTGGTGTGAACATAGATGACTGTCCTCCAGAGACATGCAAGAACGGCGGAACTTGTTCAGATTTGATAGCAGATTTCAGCTGTGCTTGTTTGCCTGGTTATACGGGCAAAAGTTGTGAGACTGACATTGATGAGTGTGCGCAAAACCCGTGTAAACATGGTGCCACTTGTGTGGACGCTGTAGCCAATTATAGTTGTAACTGTGCCCATGGTTACACGGGAAAAAACTGTGAAGTGGATATTAATGAATGCGCCTCAAGCCCCTGCAAAAATGGAGCTAAGTGTGCAAATCTGGTAGCAGATTTTTCCTGCAGTTGTCTTCCCGGTTACACTGGAAAAGACTGCTCCACTGATATAAACGAGTGCAATTCCTATCCTTGTTTACATGGTGCTACATGTCATGACAAGATCGACAATTATACGTGCGCCTGTGTTCCTGGCTACACTGGTAGGCAGTGCGAGATCAACATTGATGATTGTTCGCCAAATCCTTGTCGCAACACTGGTATTTGCTCGGATGGGATCAACAACTATCACTGCAACTGCGAAGGAACTGGATTTAACGGATCTCGCTGCGAGCTCGACATTGACGAATGCGCTTCGACTCCTTGCAAACACGGCACTTGCAACAACACCGTGGGCTCTTATGCCTGTGAATGCTTGGGGACTGGATACACCGGCAAGCTTTGTGAAGTTGATATTAACGAATGTGTCACCTTGACAACGCCTTGCTTGAATGGAGGAACGTGTCAGAATACGGATGGTTCTTACTACTGCGCATGCGTTCCAGGTTTTCTAGGGAAAACGTGTGACGTAAACTTTGACGAATGCTCCAGTAGTCCCTGCATTCATAATGGCCGATGCGTTGATAAAGTGGATGGTTTTTATTGCGATTGCATTGGGACAGGTTTTGAAGGATTTCGCTGTGATATAAATGTCGATGAATGCACAACCGGTGAACACGCTTGCAAAAATGGCGGCCAATGCGTAGACAACTACGGCGGATACAATTGCACTTGTGAAGTGGGTTTCACTGGTATTTTATGCGAAAACTTGCTAGCCACTGTTATTGAACCTACAGCTGCCGCTCAAAGAAGTTCTAGTGGAATGGAACTTGGATTGTCAATCGGACTTGTGCTGCTTGTAGTACTGGTGGCGGCAGTGTTATTGTTCTTGTACCGTAAAAAACAAATGAGCAAAATGAGCGGCAAGTATTACCCGTCAGATGAGGAGTTTAGGGACGGAGCCTTTCCTATGACGAATGTGGAGAAGGACGAACGGCTAATATGAATTAAGAAGTAACTTATGCTTACCCATCCCAGCCGATCACAAGTCGCATTAAACAAGAAACGACTGGGGACTAGTTAGAGCCCATCCCTACGTAGTTGTTATACAAAGACGTTTAGAGATTGGGGAGAATTTATGCAACGTTGAGGATAGAGTGAGATGCTGTTGTCGTATCCTTTTGAGGAGACAGTGAAAACGAATCTGAGATCTCAACCAGTAGAACCCTATGAGCAGTTCCTTCTACCTATCTTTTAAAGTAAATTGAGTGTAACTACATTTTGTAACATCTAGTGCGTAATGCATAATACGTGGATATGTTACCATGCGTTCTACAAAGACCTGATATGGTTACCATTACTGTCGCTTTTGGGTTATTACGTTACTGTCTCCTCCGTGATAACCTCCATTTTTGCTTTTATGTCTCATTGGAGCTGTTATATTTTTAAAACCATCGCCCAAAGCAGGCACTTAATTGAGTAACTGCTAAAGTGGACAGCTGAAACTTCTAGAGAATTTGCTGTATTATCTAAGATAGTCAGCTGTATATTTTTAATACAAATCTGAGTGTACATAGAAAGAAGATAAGTAGTGCTACTCGCGTATTATGATGCGAGAAAAAAGTTCCAAGTTTTTCTCTTTGGAACAAGCGTGCTCTAACTTGCATGAATCCAGTCTTCCTTGTATAAAATCGGTGTGACCGTACAGGAAGACGAAAACAGTGTATATGTTGTGGTTCAATTTTATCCTTGGTTTAAATTTTATTTTCTTTTGTTTTAAACTCATTATCATACATTAACATACCTAAAAAAACAAAAGAAAATAAAATTTAAACCAAGGATAAAATTGAACCACAACATATACATCCCTCATCCTTCCGTAATCTTTGAAAATTCATTTTAGTTCAACTGATAAATTAACACTGAACAGACTGAACAATACAGATTTTTTTTTATCACTCTTAGGGTCGATTGTTTAAACGAATTCTAACTAAGACCGCGGTTTAGGAAATCTTTGGACCTCCAGGTCTCCCCCTTAGTGGGTCATTTTAAGAAAACAAATGCTTTTCTAGTCTACGCCACATGCTTTCATAAAACTGTTCACGATAAATGGTGTTTACGTAAAAGCGTTGGGCAAACTGAAAATGGCTTAGAACGCGGTTTTCTTAAACACTAGCTAAACTCCGTTTAAATAACTGACCTTTAGTGTCGTGCGCGCTGTACATTTGGTTAAATACAGTTTATTTTGATGAAAATTTTCTGAGTTATTTTTAAGAGTATTAGCGACTATCATTTCTCTACTACTTTTTTAATTTTCTAATTGCTTTTTAAAGAACATTTACAGACTAACGCAAGTTTATTGTTATTTTTTAACGTGCATGATTTCATACCAAGATAGTGTAATAATTATTTATAACAATAGTAATATATATTTACATCGAAAGAGGCCTCTTCTAATAAACAATTATTATTCGATGCACTTGATTCTTTACTTTAGTTACCGTTGTTCAAAGTAGCTAAAGTGTTCCCTCACGGGTGCGCCAGTCGTCCTCTTAGTTGTCCATCCGCGCATGCCCAGTTTCTGCCAGCGAAGAGCAAGGCTTCTCACGTTTCAATGCGCTTTTCGAGGGCTCGCTTCAGGCGTGGAATGAAAAGGCAGAGCCCTAAAGTGCCTAGACTCAAAGCTATTTATTCCTCAGTAGCGCTATGGTGTGCTTTGTTAGGAATCGTTACCAAACAAATCCACCTACATTTTTTATGTATAATTGACGTCATTATAATCAAAAGTGAAGGGGAAAGATAGAGAAAATACAAATTGTGCCATAATGAGGACATTTCCATTGTCGATTCGACCAATGAGCTGGCAAATAAACGCACAGTTGTTTTGAAAAGTAAACTAACAGTGTACTGTTAGAGTTGTTTTGCACCGAATCACAATAAATAACCAAAGAACTTATCCCAAGACTGTAAACATGTCACAAATCATATCAATAGTCATGTACTTTGTACAAAAAAAAACAATTATTGTGATTCCACCAAACTTGGAATGGGAGTTGGAGCAGACATGAAGAAAACCATGAGAGGAGCTAAACTTGACAGGAAAAATAGCACAAAAAATAACCGATCGAGAACAATGGCCGCGAACTCCCACTCATCTGCAATTTCCGCTTGTTCGTTTTCATCTTTGACTCGCCGGGTAAGTACACCAGTGCCCTCTAAAACTCTGTTCTGCAGTGTGTTCAGAGTGTTGCTACGTTTTGGAATAATGGGCAACTTCCTCCTTCTCATCCGCCTCTCTGATGCACCTGAGTGTTCACCGGCGAGGGCATTGATGGCTGGTTCGCTCTTTGATTTGGTCGGTGATCCACNTCATCTGCAATTTCCGCTTGTTCGTTTTCATCTTTGACTCGCCGGGTAAGTACACCCGTGCCCTCTAAAACTCTGTTCTGCAGTGTGTTCAGAGTGTTGCTACGTTTTGGAATAATGGGCAACTTCCTCCTTCTCATCCGCCTCTCTGATGCACCTGAGTGTTCACCGGCGAGGGCATTGATGGCTGGTTCGCTCTTTGATTTGGTCGGTGATCCACTGCCCGAAGTTTTTCGTGCTTTGGGTAATATTCCATTTGCCCGTGGGATTGGGCTCTTTGGCCCAAGTTCGATCAAAGCAATTCGTTCCCCGGTTGTGTTGTTCCCGTTATGAACGATGAAGGACTCGCCTGTGTCGTCACAGTCGAAGCAGGCTTCGTCGGTTTGTTTCCCACACCACTGATTGATTCCTTTCCCCTTAGGCTTCTGGGTAATGACAAAAAACAGACAAGAGGCTATCCACTCGTTAATTATCACGCGCAACCGTTCGGGCATGCGCGTTGGGCCAGCGTAGTAGTACCGCAGGACAATGACCGTAGCTAAAATGGCGAAGCAGTTCTGTATCATCAGAATCAGGTAGTAGTCACCCAGCAGGGGTATACTATCGGATGTGGATGGCAGTGTATTGGAGGCGATGTTCAAGAACACCGTCATGGTAAGAAGCACTGTAATGTTGAGCGTGACTCTTTCGCCAGTGATTGGTGGAAGGCAGAACCCGACAAGAATAAAAGTAACAATGATAGTTGTGGGAATGATCAGGTTAAACAGATAGTAGAGAACTTTCCTCTTCATGTGGATGGTGAAAGTTATATCGGAGTACGGATCCGGGCAGCAGTGATAGTAAAGTTTATTCTCTGTCACGGGGACATCCAATACTTCCCACTCGCCGTTTTTTATGTAGTTGGACATGTCAGCTTTCTTCTGGGTTTTATACATGTCCAGGAACTTTGTACTATAGGTCCAAGATCTGCAGATAAAATATGAAGATTATCTAAAGGTGGTGACAAGCTGTGCGCTCTATGCCTTGATTATAGCGGAAACTCTAGATGGGGTTCAACTGGCTCCTGACAAACTTTCACTGACACAGATATTTAATTCGTTGTTTTACTGGCAACTTTCAAAAGACCTAATTGACCTTAATATCAGCTTCAGCTTCTGGTACCTTCGTGGGACAAAAACTGCCCTTACAAGAAATTCAGGTTTCTCCTTTCAGAGCCCAAAAGTCCAAGCAAATATAAAAGCCGGGATTTGGGGAAGACTTCTTCTTTGTTTTCAATCGAGTGAAGTCAGTTAAAGCACTAATGGTGTCGTTGAAAAGATTACTGTTACCTGTATCCAACCTCTTCTCACTCCAAACACAAATAGATTAGGACTGGGTATCAGTGTTATAAAAACTGTTGGCTGGAAATGTGTCCTACATAACTAATTATACTCACCCGAATTTTAAGAAACAGTGCTGCTCGTCATAAGGGAAGAAACGAATGTTCTGTTTACACGAGGAGATAAACTGAGTGGCAGCAAACCACGTGACTGTACCGTTGTTGTCAATCACCACTTTGGTCTTATACTTTTCCAAACCTCCAGTAAAACCCTTAGCGGCGCTGTAAAACCAAAATATTAAGAAATTTTAATCCACAATTGTGTTGTATTTCACATATCAATCGATGTTGCTAAGGATCTTTTTTTATTATTGTCTGTTTGTTTTAGTCTACCTGTCTGTCTTTCTGTCTACTTGTCTCTTTGTTTATCCGTCTGTCTGCCTTTGCCTGGGCCTTAGGCCTCATTTTGGGTCACGTGGTCAAGTGGTGCGGCCTTTCGTCTCGGATACGTCACCGAATGTATTGACCGAGAAGGCCTGGGAAGACGCCGTACAAGGACTAGGCAAAACAGAGATTTAGAGTCGCGTCTACGGCAAACGACACAAGTGAGTTTGTACCACTTGACCATGTTTTCCCTTTACACTTGTCCCTTTCTGGTCATTATAACTACAGTTGTACAACCCAAAGCTACTTCTAAGTCGGTTTTCAGTATCCAGGTGCTTTAATTTTGAAAAATAATCACTTCTATTTCCTCCTTATATTTTCTATGGATATTTGCAGAATAGTTTGAAATATCATTTCTCAGTTGCGTCGGTCAACTGTCAATAGATTATGTCTAAGTCGAGTTACAATGACGTTGTTCAATTAATAGAAGACGTGATGTTATTTATGCTGCCAATTTAGCATATGGAACGGAAAGATGACTTCTAGAAGACATCAGTTGTAAACACATTTACAATAACTGTAATAACTAAAGTCTCTGTTTTATCATAGTAACCCTTTAATTTGTCAACCTCTTTATTCATTTATGACAGGTTTGATATTTCCTTACTTGTTGTAAAGGATAATGACTGGTAACCAAACCATATCTGGTTCAACGTTGATTTTTGTGATCCCGTCATAATAATTTGGATCCCATGTAAGGAAAGGATCCTTCCACTCCTAAAACATTGATGATACAATTTTAGAAAAGCACTTAATTGTCGCTGTGTCAATATGCTTCTTTTTTTATTCCGTTTATTTTTATCACTCATTGTGTGCACTTAGAGGAAAGTATCTACTCTATGAAGAAACAAAGTAGCAAAACAGCTACACGGCCGACTTTTTCGTAGCGAAAATAACTTTTTAAAACATTCCACGTAAATACGCTCATTGATTCACAAAGGATGCGCACTTAACCTACGATACGAGTGAGCGGTTTGCCACTCAAAAGTAACTTGTTTTATATTCTTGAACTATCAGTTCCTGCTTCCTTCAGATTTAGGAGCCTTGCGGTGTCTCTGGTTACAAGTAGCAACCAGTGTCATTCGCCTAGACTGGATGGAACAGAAATCAAAATTAAGCGCGCATAGAACGATTGATAGCAAACTTTTCTACTTCTTTAAATCCCCTTCCCAACGTTCATCAAGAGCTTCCTTGCTTCACTGTCTCCAGGTTCCACGTGTTTTTAAATTTTAGTTGCACGAAAATGGCTGTTGTTGAATAGAGGAAGAGTAGCAGCTACTTACTCACGTACGGGCGTAATTTTTTGTCGTATGTGGGGATAAAATTTTTAATCATGGCATTGAACATAGCTTCTTTTAGCCGAGTTGCTTGTGCAGTAATAAATTCCTCATTCAAAGTGTTTGTAAAGGTAGTATATTCAGTGTTGTAGCCGTATCTAATTGATAAACACTAACCTGTGTTGTCCACGCATTGACTTTCAGTGTCTCTGCTTTTTCGTCCTTTAAGTATCAATAGTTGAATTATGACATTTAAAACGAACAGAGCTAACTACATTGTAATCAGCAATGAAATAATAAAAACGTTATGCTAGGTAACGATGAAGACAGAAACACAAGATGTAAAACTATGTACAGTGGTTAAATAATACAGTGTGCCAACCCCGAAATTGCGGGGCAGCTGTAGTTAAATCTTCTACTCACTTAAAAACTTAGTCCGACATATTGTATACAATAGCGTGACGCAACTTTGAATCTTCAACCAAGCAAATCTTTGATTCAAAACTATTTGATGGCCAAAAGCTGAAGGCCGTTCCGCCTGCACATGTTGCAAACAAATGTTGCAGCATGTTGCACGTCAAGTGAAACACTATGCTCAACTGGATATTATGAGGCTACGCGCAAGACAGAATTGATATTGTGTAAGAATGCAGTACAGGACTGTTTTGGGGACGCTATCACTATTTTTATTAGCTATTACAAAATTAAGTTTCGAGGGAAACTAAGAGTGCGTACAGTAATTATTTTAGGTCAGCAGTCTTGATAGTCAAGCAGACCAACGTATCACGGCAACGACAAACGTCGAGCGAACTGGAAAGGAAGTGAACAGTTATCCCTAGACTTGTATGCTAAACGTGAACTCCTTGAAGTCGTCCGTAAAAATTTTCACAGGAACCGAGATCTCAATAGTTCCCGAGTTACATAACGGTGATCAAGATTGATCTCCGCGAGTCTTTTTCAGGGCCAGAAGCTCCTTCCGATTGCCTCAAGGGAATGAGATCATGAAGAAAAACCCTATCTCCTGAAATTATATTCACTTTTTTGTACTTTTTAAAACTTACCACGTCCACAATCTGGACAAGGCTCATAGAAAACTGAACTCTCAACACATCGCTGTTGTGCACAGCTGGTCTGACTTCTCTGCTGTAACTCTTGCTGTAAATCAAATCCTGTAGGAGCCGGTGTTCTACCGTCTTGGCAATTTTTTCATCTGGACCTTTTTCACCTACTTTTACTAGAAGAAAAGACAATTCGTGCTTATTGTTGTTTGGCTATTGTCTTTTACTTGTACTAGTGTGTTCTGTGAATCTAATATCTGCTACAGGCCCGTGATGCCTCGCGCATCCAGCAGAGAGGATTGACAACCAACACAAAAAGGCTCATAAATGCCTGCCTGCTCCATAAGCTTTCCTAAGGCCTACACAAGCAAGAAGCGCAAGCGGGAAGTAATGGGAAGGAAAAAGAGAGAAAAGGAAAAGCTTCGCTTTTTCTCTCAATCCTATCACTCTCAGGAGCCTTAATGCTTCATGTTAAAGAATCAGAATAAACTTTTGCCGTGTGAGTCTCTAGGTTCATGTGCGACTATATTTAACCTACTTCTTTGTCACGCACGAACACGCCCTGGAATCTCACTCTCTTTCCCCTTGATGACATAAGATTCCAACTCGTGCAAGATTACCATCACATCATTGCAAGTACGTGCTTATGCTCGCGTATACAAAGTCTTTTTTGTGTACACAGCAACAGGTATAAAAACAACGGAATCATTCATTTTTATCCTCTTGCGAGTCACCAACGCTCAATTGTTTTCACTCATATATATTATAAAGTCAAGATACCTCTTTTTGGTTGATGAGTAGAACTGACATCCCAGGGAAGTCTCGTGAAAGATTTTGGTGTCTTGGTAGTTGTAGGGGTTATCACCGGAAATATAGTTTTTACATGTGGTCCTATCAAAAGAAAAATGCAGCGTTACAATAATATTAATTGCACCACATTGTTTAACCAGCAATCGTTTCATAAAGTCCCGTACGAGACTTGTTAACTTTCCTAATGCATTGTAGATCGCACAGGAAACAACTTTTCAGCAGTCTACGGTGGACTTAGGCATCTGCCCACCAAACATTCCAGGATTGAACTTGAGCTATCAATTTAAAATATGCTGCTGAAGTTAAGGGTAAAACAAACCTTGATAGCTGACCAAAAGTATCGCAGCCTCTGAGAACGAAGCAGAATTAAGCGAAAATGCGCACGCGTGATTTTGCTTTTCAGTTACCAGTTTTACCTGACCAATTGAGACGCACTGCGATGTCTGTAGACTCTGGTGAGTTTTTCAAGTCACACTTTTTCTCTGGATAACACTCAACAACGAAGCAAATATCTTCTATCATGTAAACATAATCGCCGTATCCGAGTGTACAAGCGTGATTAATGCATTCGCTAATGTTGAAATTCTTCCCCAGATATCTGAACAACCCTGCTTGATTCCCTTCAGTTAACGTTACGTTAAACGAAGCTCTTCCAGGTATACACCTCCGTGGAGAATCTAAAAAATGAAGCATAGAAATAGGAAACGATTTTACAATCGCCCTCAGAGTAGTATAAGAATAAATTTTCCGGCAAACTGTAAACGTCAGATTCGACTTCACAATTTCGGAAATGAGAATACACATAAATAAAAAATTCGTCGTCGTGTGTTCAAATCCTCAAAACGTCGCATTTAGAATGTTTCATGTCCTCCTTTTACAGTGGATGTCAAAGAAATCTTCTAAAAAGTGTGTAAGCATGAACTTGGAAAAATAAACATGTTGTACTCTCCACAAAAAGAAATTGTCATATTACACCTCTACCTGCCCATAACGGCCACCTCTCCATAACGGTCACTTTCTTCTTTTTCCAATGTGACCGTTCTGAAGAGGTTCGACTGTATTTTTAAATGATTCTTGTGTGGAGACTTTCATGCTTATTAGTGTGAAAATTTATCGTTCTAATAACACAGTAATGCTAAGTTTCGTAAGTCGAGTAGTTAGTGACCAACTTCTCTACTTATGGAGCTCAGCTGATAGACCCCAAATCTTTGTGTTTGCCCTTACAAAGTTTTCCACTCATTCAAAGTAGATCTGTGGATATTAGTTTTAGCCCAAATGCAACTTACCTGTGGATTGTGTCTCGACTGCCTTCCAAAATACGACAGTCAACAACACAAAGAGCTTGACAATAACTTGATTGTTGTATATTTTCATCGCAAACTGGGCTTGGATCATTAACTGTCAGCCTGGAAAGTTGCATCTGATTGACTTGCAACTAAAGAAAGATTGGCAGGATTCAAGAGAGTAGATTTTAAGTCTCAACGAGTTCCAATACGAAGTTTTGAGTTTATAGGTATTTAAAGAAATTATCCGTGATAATATTTTATTCCGGCATCGCCAAAACAACCAATAACAGCAAAATATATATTTTTTGGACGATGTAACTGAACTCCATGTGTAATAAAAAAAAACGTCTCAGTTTACTGGTGATGGTAAAAGTGATAAGTTTGTGTTTTTGAATTCAGAGAATTGCAAGACTGTTGGAAACATTGTGAATAGAGTACAAAGCGTAGCAAAAAGCGACAAAAAATACCATCAAAAACGAAACGAATATAGTCGACAATACATAAATTTTCTGATGGAGGTCGTACGATGTCAAGGCGACACTAGAGGTTAAAGAATTTTAAAACATACATCATGTCCAAATGTTCACGGCTTCCACCAACTTAGGATTTGACACGTTTTAAAAACAAACCAAAGAATAAAGCAATGGTAAAGAAAGTTTTGTAATAGAAAATTTGAGAAATTCATCATTTAACATACCTTCCCTGGTGCAAAAAGCTCTTACAACTTACTTTAATAAAATATTTATTTACAGTAGCTCTGCATAAGACGATGTAAGATACCTGCTGCTCCAAGTGAGCAAAATATAAACATTCAAAGATAAAAAAAGCTCCTGAATAGCCCGAGAACACAACTTTGAGCTACTAAAATTGACAACAGGTTTGAACAATTGAAAGTGTCTATTAAGAGGTTTATAATCTGATTGCACAATTGAAAAAACCGAACTAGTTTACGTTGGACTAAAGAACCACAATGAAGAATAATTTATACTCCTAGTAGTTAACTAAGTATCCGTCTGGCTGTGTCTAAACGTCTATTGAGCCGGCTAAAGTACTCACAGGAAAAAATACTATTTTTTCACAGAAATATTGCTTCATGTTTTCATGAAAGGGTCTGAAAGAGGTTTTACACAGACTAAAAACCTTATACAGACATTTGCGTAGTAAAGGTTTCCTTCTATTCTTGAAAAGCGAGGGCAGAAGTATAGAGTAAACATTTATCAAAACTTATTTGTCAAAATACATCTGCGCTAAAAGAGCACTTTGACTAAGAAAAGAAAAAGGTTTGAGGGGAAACAGGTCTGAGTATGGAGCAGGTGGAGGTAGTGTCGAGTTTGTTATTTTTTTAGTTGCTGAGTATACTTGATGGAAAGCGTGCATAAATTTTCTCAGTTGTAAGTTAGTAAGCTTGTTTGTTTCTCACTCTCTTTCTCTTTTTTTTTTCTTCTTTGTTGGCCAGCCTTCTGGCAGTCGTTGTCACTTTGTAGTCCTTCCACGTTTGAAACACCTAACACGTGCAATATAAAATCCGAAGTGAGAGTTAAAAAATCAAAGAGCACCGCAGTTTAAGCATTCAAAGCATTTGCTAAGAGACAAATAAAAAATCCCACTAGCCGAAGTAAGAACTTCGGTGAAAGATTATCACAGAGGAAACTAGTTCTATACGAATATGATCAAAACGAATCAAAAGGACATAGGCTAAGTTTCACTGAGTGAGGGCTATGCAAATTTTAACAATATAAAAGCATCGTGAAGCGAGCAGGTGTCTTCATTACACACATTTTGAGCAGTGTAGTCTTATGAATTGTTTATTGTTGTAACTCCATGGGACGCTTTTTGCGAACTATATCAGGAAGAAAATTAGCAGTCATTTTGAAAAAATATTTGATGCATTTGCGACCCGTTCCACTTTTCGGTTTGACGGTCGTCTTGAGACGAAAAAATTACTTTTAGTTTGCCGTAACTCATTGCTTTTTCTCAAAAAGACCTTATTGAAGCGATTTCATTTGGCTTTATTTACAAGCAAACACAGAGGGAAAAAACTGGCTATCACCTGTCCTAAACACAGCATGAAGGAAGCTCTTACAGAAACAAACAAGGCACAAGTTCTTATTGCTGCTGATGCTTCACTCGCAGCTACACTTTCAAGACTTGAAAACGTCCGAGTACAGCTAAAGCTAATTCAGGAGGATAAAAACAACTTAAGGGAAGACTTCAAAGAAATATCTGACAGGATCTGCACTTTAGCCGCCAGCTGCTCAGAAGAAGGATTCATTATTTTAAAGCGACGGTCTAAGGCGTAACATATCCGCGAGCTTAATTTGACGAATGTAGAATGCACAGGAGCCTCGTCACATCTATCAGGCTTTATTACTCAAGTTTCAATTTGTCGCTTTTTTCTTATTGAAAACATCGATTTTAGTCATCAGTTACTAAATTTTATTTCCGCGATTATTCGGACAAATCTAATATACTGACCTTCAAGCAAACTAACGAATTCCATGCCCGAACAACCTGTCGCATTGAAACTGAACTCAATAAATCTTCATGTTTAAATTATTTGTTGTCATTCAGTGGGTCGAAGCTTAACCAACTGAGGAAACGCTCTTAGCAGATAATTTTTACCTAATATATATGATTTTTTGCCGCTCAAAACACCTTCAGAAATTGCAGATAAAATGAGCCCGATTGTTATGGGACGAACGGCACGAAAACTGAAAAACAGGGGCACCCAACGTCAATTTTTGGAAAATATCTGTTCGGAAGACGATTTGAGATCTAGAATTTTCGGAACATTTGTTGTAAAATTTATTGCTTGCCTGTCTCTCCTAGGATTTTCGAACATCCAAGAAATGGTATAATTACCCATTTTTAACGGATTGTTACCCTTTGAAAGTTCACCTAGAATTTTTGGGAGCCATTTTATGGCTAAAATTTGAAAAGATAAGTTTTGATCCCTATAATTTTCGGATCACAAGACTTTCAGCTAGGAAATCCGAACAGATGACAAATTTTTAGGGGATAAAAATATGCCTATATCTACCGTTTAAATACTAAAATACGTTAAACAAAGCCGTCTTTGAG